ATAAGGAATTATTAAAGACATGTTTTCGAAAGCTTGATAATCAAAACTGGATTTGTTCTTCCAGAAAACGAATTATAAAGCGAATAAATCAATTCGAAGAAATAGCGAATGATTTAGAAAATGTATTGTATCTAGCAGGACTCAGAACAAAAACAAGAACTAAACGCGGTTTATTTGACTTCATAGGTGAAGTAAGTAAAACTCTATTTGGAACTCTGTCCGATTCCGATGCGAACTATTATAACAGCGAATTAGATAAATTATATACCGATCAGAAAAATGTTATCCAGTACGTTAAAAATCAAACTAGTATCATACTTAAAACTTTACATACTAACGAAAAAATTGTCGATGTAACTTCAAACGCGATAAGTCGCATAAACGATCAGTTTAACCGCCTCAGAAACTTGTCTCAGATCATTGAAGCAAATATTTGGATAGATGAATCCTTATTAGATTTAGACGACGAATTAAGAAAATTAATTGATGAAATTAGAAAAGCAGAAGAACTTATTACTAACGGAAGACACGGAACTATCAAGCCATACGTTTTATCACCCAGGGATTTATTCAACGCTTTGAGGCAACATAAACATGTAGATAATTTTCCCGTACCCTTAGAGGAGACGCAATACATTACTCTAATAGATATAAGCGAAATATCGATAGCATTAACAGAAAAACGATTGCTGATTCAATTGATAATTCCGTTAATAGAAGACAAATTCTTAGAACTAACTAAAGTAATATCCCTTCCTAGGCACGGATGGTTAAAACAATCCATAGTAGACACCACTCAAAAACTTATCCTATTAGATCCATTTAGAACTACGTTTATGCCTATTAGCGAATTAGAATTAAGCTCCGCAAAGAAACTCGGAAAATATCAACTATTAAAGCGGACATATCCCGATTATAAAATGGGTATAAAAGATAATTGTCTTACTGAAATAATTACAAAACGCGATACAGAAAAATGTACAACAAAGTATATGCAAATTCAAAATACATTATGGATCCAACTTCATACGAATCAAGATTGGATAGGAATTGCACCTAGAGAAGAAGCTTTGCATATACTCTGTTCCGATAAAACACCTCGAAATGTACGAGTATACCAAAATTTTATACTTCACTTAGAACCAGATTGTACAGCAATTTCCGAAACTGCAACTTTGAAACCCGAAAACTTATTTAAAGACGAAATTGAAATTCACAACACAATTCATTTAATAGATAAAATATCAATCAATAAAACGTTAGAGAAACATCAACTGACTGACATACCAATGGACTTAATAAGAGAAACTCATATTAATCCAAAGCATCTACAAACCTTAGGCAAAACAATAGACGAATTAGATAATTTAGCAGACCGAATATCACAGCATAAAAGAACTATCACTTGGAAGGAAACATTCATGCATTATCTCCATTTGACCGGATACATAGCCCTTGGCTCTATCCTTTTCATGTTCCTCTATAAGATTGGACTATTTTCAAATATAATTAATTTACTCAAGCAACTATTCGGAAATTGTTACAACCAATGTAGCTTTGGAAATCACGCTCCAACGCAACACGCCCATTATACCGCTTACTCTGCTCAACCCCCAAATCTCGAGTTAAAATCAGACGTATTAAAACGTTTGATTAACTATAAAATTTGATTACACTCCAAATTTCTTTATAAGGGGGAAGGTGTGACCATCGTCCATCAACCTACCTTAGGAATTTGCCTCTAAGATAAGAATAGAAGTAAGACTTTAGGATAAGATTAGATTCTATTGGAATTTAGACTCATTTTCGAGTCTTATAAAAGAAAACCCTCAGACTGTAGGGGCAGTCTTCGATATATTGCGAGAGCAGTTACGTCTCTAAAATTTTTTCCAAGTGACAATTATATAAAAAGAAAGGGAATACAATAAAAATAATTTTTTTATTTTTGAAATTGTTATCACAAATCTTACAGTACCATAATTTAACTCAAGAAATTAAATTTGACTCAAATTCAATTTATTATTTACGTACATACGTTAATATGAACGTTGTCTAGGTTAAAATTAATTCCAAAAATGAATTGATTTACATTTTGACACATACAAGTCAAAAATATCAAAATATTATTTAACTCAAGAGATAGGGTTGCCACTGCTCCATTGATATTTAACAATAGTGAGTTACCATGTCATATATTTTCAGTAATGTACGTATAAGTATAATGTATAAGTACATTTTTTATTATAAACAGCAATGAATGTATTTGTCGTAAGTTTTAAAACTAATTGTAAATTTCGTTATTAATACTAACATGATTATTATATGACAAAATGTTTGAAATTATAATATTCATTTAAAAAATGTTGCAAAAATATTTCTGACACCAGGAACATCGTATTATAGCAGATGCACCACATATGGAGCAGCGTGGAATTTCTTCAATATCCTTTTCAAAGAACCATAAATCTATGGTTCGGTATCTCTGGAGTTTCGAAATGAACGGTCATTCTTCGATATGTCCACTCTTGAACCTATTCTCAAACATATTTAAAAATTTTAAAATAATGGAGATAGCTGTATATGCGTCAAAGATTGTAATTTAATGATTTTATTATTTCTCAAATATAAATTAATATCATGATTTAATAACATAATCCGATCGCTAAATGTTCTCACAAAATTTGTCCATAGTGGCCCCGTTTGTGCATTTAGGTCGCGACCTATACAATAGGTGTCCTTGTTTATCGTGTAAGTTTATCTGAACCAGTGATCCTAGAAAGGAAAGCCAGGCTGCAACATGTACACAAAAGACGAGCCATATACATGTGCGCCCGACAGTTCGGCTCTCAATATAAGAGCATCGACACAATATCCGATTTGAATTATTCCTCTTTTGCCTCGTGCTATACTGAGCGTCTCCGTTTCATTTTACTACGCGTTGAGTGCTACATGTACATATAATGTATACATTTATACACATATTACATAAATAAGTATTATATATTATACATGTATAATATTTATATAATATTATATATAACGTATTGCATATGTATATAAATATTATTTACACACACACACACACACACACACACACACACACACACACACACACACACACACACATGCACGCACGCACGCACAATTTATTACAAAAACTTATTTTTTTTTTGTAAGTGACATTTATAATAGCTACCTAATTTAAAAAATATTTAAAGTAATAGAAATAATTGTTTCTTAATACAAATGGTATAAATCTTCTATGAATATGAAACAAATATAAATTTGAAATATTATGTTGTCATATCCCATTCACGGCAACTAATTGTATCTATAATTGTAAGATTTGTGATAACAATTTCAAAA